ATGAAGGCGATACTGAGACGTGGGTCGCTTGAGAACAATAACCCCATGCTGCAGACGGCATACAGGGAACTTCGTCGTCCATGGCTTCGTCACCAGCAAGTGGTGGATACATGACTGTCTGTTTACACAACGATTTTTATATGCTGAGATCGTCTCACATGTGCCGTTCGTCTCAGAAAAAGGTAGCACTCTCTCTCAATAGTCAAACCAGTAGCTGAAGGTTGTTCATGCCTTTTCCTTCGGACGAGCCAGAATTGGGGGGAGACGTACGGTAAATCTGAAAAAAAAATAAACAAAAAATAAAATAAATATATAACACAGAAATTCAAAGCAAACAAGTCAACTGACGTAAAAAGATAAAATTATTAATTTATCTTGATGATAATTAAAGGAAAGGAAATTCAAGAATTCTTTAAAAAAAACTGAAATGCTGTAGACCCAAAGCACAATAGCCAAATTTGACCATGACAATCTTTATTCGTCTCGCAGGGAGAAATAATATGTTTTGGTCTCTCTGTCTCCGTCTCTGTCTCTGTCTCTGTCTCTGTCTCTCTGTCTCTGTCTCTGTCTCTCTCTCTCTCTCTCTCTCTCTCTCTCTCTCTCTCTCTCTCTCTCTCTCTCTCTCTCTCTTGGGGGGGGGGGGGTGGGGGTGGGGAGGGTGTTTTACTACACTCGCAACTGAAAAAGTTGAGGGACACATGAAACACTTTGGGTTGGTAGGAAGATTTGAATTTTGCTAAGATGGCGGCCGAACCCTACTCTTATCGACTTTAGACTACAAAGGTATCTTTATCTTTCGCAACTTGCATACGGGATCTCCGAGATTTTTCGACCTTATCCGAGAAGGATAGATGTTAGATCTTATCTACCATAAGATCAGGGGTGTGGCTGAACGACAGCAGTAAGAAGGAGCAAAGGGGTAGCAGTAGAAAGGCTGCAGAAAGAGTCAGGGGACCAGACGAGAGAGTAAAGAAGGAGAGGGGGTGAGGGCAGAAAGTGGAGACGAAAGCACGACAGAACATTGTCAGAGACCAGGAAAGGAGGTGAAAGGAGAACATCTTTAGAGAAGATAATCTTCTGTTGCTGCCCGGATTTGAACCCGGGACAAATTGAATGAGAGGCAAACACTGTAACCTCTCGACCATGAGCCTCCCACCCCACCCCCTCTCTCTCACTATCTCTCTCTCTTTCTCTCTCTATCTCTCTCTCTGTGTGTGTGTGTGTGTGTGTGTGTGTGTGTGTGTGTGTGTGTGTGTGTGTGAGTGTGTTTCACTTGTAACACAGTTAGTTCAGATACCTATCTGCAGTTGGCACGAAAGAACATGTAAAATACATGTATTATTCTATGTGCGTCGCACTGTATTGTCCACCCGACTAAAGTTGAGCTGATATCGTCGGAGGAGTGAAAAATACATAAACTTTTCTGAAGTTCAATTTAATCGTTGGGACCACAAAATCAAAGTACATAACAAAATATTAATTTTAATTTCAGTACCGAGGTAAACATCGCCGCGAGAGGAAAGGTTGCCGACCAAACAAGTTATTTATTCACTTATTTAGTCACCGCGTACTCACGCGTATGTGTTTATGTGAGTGTGTCTCTCGTTGCAGCTGGTTAAGATGTATTTCCAAGTGTGTAAATCTATCGCTTTCTGCCATGATCTTTATTTTCACACTATACACAGTCCGTTTTTAATTCGTTTTACACGAATATGGACTTATGTTCGTCGCAAATTAATATTTTTATAAAATGATGGGTTTCTTTACAACTACTCGTATATTACACTAAGCCCAATTGCGTAGTACCTTTTGCGCTTTGAACACCCTAGGGGTGGGGGTGGGGGGTCAGGGGGCATGTCAACCTGTTTTTTTCCCCACAATTTGATGTTTTGCGTTACGGTTTGACATTTTCTTGAAAATAATTGATTTGCGACAGTTTTAATGGCCATATGGTGATCGATCTGCAGTATTTTTTATTTTTAAATACTGCAGTTTGATCCCAAAGCCGTGCGTCTCGAGACGGAAGAGAAAGTAGAAATTAACCGACATCTTTGAAATAAACACATGTAGCAAAATACATCTATCTTGGACTGTCCGCACTTAATTAAGAAAGTAAACGCTACGCAAAGTTACAGTCGACAGTACATTTTCAGCCGAGTTTGTGACACCCAGTTTTTTCTGTATTACTCAGTCTTGTGCTGCACCCAAGGAGAAAATAAAATTCCGAGGTGCTTGGGCTCACCACTCCTGTCACAGTTACTACTATGTACGCCTTAGTGCGGGTGGATCGGCTCTACACGATACGTGTATTTTAAAGTAAAGAATCACTCGGGTCAAAACTGCTAAGAAGCGTCTGACATATACGTTAAAAAACCCATATAAAAACAACCTGTTAATTTGTCTTTAATTAAATGATAAAGAAAGAAATACTACAGCCGTTGCATACTTGTAACGGGGAAAAAGCACTTCCAACTCATCATTTTACGTATGTTTGAGTTGAACTCAACATAACCGTTTGACTTTAACCCGTCATGTAAAGAAGAGGCACTGAGACCCAAGAAAAAGATCGACCTAATTGACGGAAGATCAACTCTAGAGAGTTCGACACAAATGGGGTCGACTGTATTTATTGTTTTACCTCCGTAAGGAAATAATGTAGGCCTTGACGATTTAATTTTAATAGGACAACCCCAAGCACGCACAACAATGTGCAGTCACAAAACTTTTTAAAAAGAGATATGAACGTTTTGCTTCAGTCAGTTATGCTTGCCAAACACATAACTAATCAATTTGTAGAAGTGTATCTCAAAACACTTTGTAGCTGAACAAAGTCCATCCAATTCTCATAGTTTGATACGATGCTACCGGGTGTGGATGCAAATTCAAAGGTCATTCAATACAAACATCAGTGTGTACATGTGCGCCCAAGTGTGAATGTGTGTGTGTGTGTGTGTGTGTGTGTGTGTGTGTGGGTGGGTGAGTGTGTATGTGTGTGTGTGTGTGTGTGTGTGTGTGTGTGTGTGTGAGTGAGTGTGTGTGTGTGTGCGTGTGAGAGTGTTTTTGTGTGTGTATGGGTGTCTATCATCTTCGTCATCTTGTTTCTAATTACTTCCTTTTTTGTTGCCCGGGGGGGGGGGGGTATTTTGGAGACAAAATTATATGCAGTTGCTTATCGTTAGATTTTAAGGTAAATATTTCTCTAGCATTAGGGTTGCTGATCCTGTTCCTTTCAAGTTATGAGGTGGAAAAGAGGATGTTGATCCTTGCACTGCTGAGACTTTTCTTTTTTGAGAGAACCATAAATAATTTGAGAGAGGTGACTCACAAGTTTGATCCCTGATGTTTTCTCTTCTCACTGTGCGTGGTGTAACAGTGAAGCTTTTCTTTTGAGTAGTTTTAGTAAGAGTTTCCGAAACAAGCGATTAGCAAGAGTTATAAGTAAAATTCTATTTTTAGTAAAAGTTTTACAGCACCAGCAACGCGAATAGGTCATAGTACGAGTGATGAAAGTTAAAGGTGTTACAAAACAGTTACATACAAATAAAACAAAGAGGTTTTTGGCTCAGCAAGCAAACAAAGGGTCACAGATTCTCATGTTATCATAATTTCAATCGCGTATCCTTATGTTTTCCCTGGGTGCCATGGTTGGCTCGACAAGCAGGGTTGAATAAGTTGCTTTCTTCAGAAATATTTACTTGTAATATACTTCGAACCTTACTCTTTGCAACAGGGAAACGTGAACGGAGAACTGTACTCTTCATTAACTCATAGTCGCTATGTAGTCATAGTGCCTTTATAAGCTGTGATTTGCACACAACGACTTCACTGACGTCACATGGTCATACTTATTTTGTCTTTCTTTCTAAACTGGGATCATGAGAAACTCGGAAAAAGAAGAAAAGCCCGAGGACTGCACCTAAAGTAATCAAATCGCACCTATTGAACAAATGCTGTCACGTATCATCCCGATGTCCTTTCAAATTTTTCCGTGGCACCACTCCACACCGACCACCATACCTTGCATCCTGTTCTGTTCCCACCGAAAAAATAATAAAATGAAATAAATAAATATAGACCTATAGAAAAAAACTCCGCCAGAATCCACTAAGGCCTTCATGTAGACCGGGTTCTTTCTTCTTTGCGAGGTGGCTTGGTTGCTCGCACGGCGTAATGATTCAGCAAAATTATTCGGTCACATTCCACTTAATTCATCTAAGCACCCAGATAGCCATGGTAACAGTCGCTTGCTGCGTACCATTGGCAGCCTATGTGGTTAGGATACCTCAACCGTTAATGTGAGATTGCGGGTTCGGGGATTCGAGTTGAGTCCTTGGTAAAGGCACTTTACCCGAATTTCTAGTTTTGCTCGGTCCTTTCGGAGAAGGACGTTAAACTCGGAGGTTCCGCCTTTTAAACAACTCAATAGCGCTGATAGAGGCGTTAAACATCATCTTTTCATCAGGTGTTTAAAGGCTGTCACTGGTAGGTCACACTTTTTTTTTCTTTCACTCTGTTGTTTCTTTTCTTCAGCACTAAATGACTGCTATTGTGTCAATGCGCTTCTCTTTACTCAAACAAAACCAAGCAATTTATGAAACAAATATACCT